GCATTTTTTGCCGAGCAAGAAAATGCATGCCAAGGCTTAAAGCAGCAACAACGCTACACATAAAAACTGATGATGGTGGAAAAATACACCGAAACATATTTTCGTGCACTGCAAAGTGACACCGTGACACTAGCGAGTTCAAAAGTCCAAAACGCCCACTGGCGGCTAAATTATAACTACACTTTAACGAATCAAATTTGACACTTATTTTGATTAGTTGTCGTTGTGACTTATTTTGTTTAGTTCCACTCAGCGTTTGCAAGCCTTTAAGCGGACAGAAACATATTGAAAAGTGTGTAAGTATTGTTTTATGTGATAGGCGTTAAAATATGGAAAAAATCGCCCGGAAACGTGTTTTTTAACTCTGCAAATTCTTGCAGGATGGTTGATTTTTCTTGTAAGTGAAAAATTTTCCAAAAACTATGCCAAACTGAAAGTTTTTGACTTTTTTTGGTTTTTTTTGCGGTGTTCTAAAAAGTCTTTTTCGAGGAAATGGTCAAAAACTCATTATTTTTGACATTAACCATCATACAAACTAGTGGCTGGATTTTTTTGTCACTTTTCCCCGTATCTGCACAAATTTTCGCAATTGGGGCGATTTTTTTCGAAACTGTAGCGATTAAATTCGACCTCCGTAGCCGTCGGCGAAATCTGTCTTAAATTCACAAAAAAATCGTTTTTCTGTCTTTGCTCCTTAACGCGATTTTTAATTGAAGAAAATCACTCTCGATGAATTGTTAAGCGCATGTGGTTGAAGACAATAGGAAAACTTCTGTCGAAAAGTTTGCGAGAAGATCGGAAAAAACAGATAATTTTTGACTCGATTTTAGCTGGGTTTTTTAGATAACTTTTCCGAAATCAACACGTATTTTTTCGAAACTTTAGAGATTTATTCCAAATTTACTGACGCTAAGGAAGGCTCTGCAACATTGCCCTTAAACATCAGTTTTCTTCGTTTGCTCCCTAACGAAACCTCTAATCGCGAAAAAAAAACAAAATGTTAGCTGGCGTTCCTAAAACGCGAGGGAAATGGAAAAAAATCAGTTGAAAGAATTTGCCAAAAAACTAATAGTTTTTTTCATTTTCAGCATTGCAGCATGTTGAACTAATAGACTTTTTCGGTTAAATCCCTCCCAATCTGAAATATTTGCGCCGTTTAATCGTTTTTACGGAAATAGCCACTTTTTTACTGGATTTACGACAACTTTGCGCCCAACTAAATTAAAAAAACCGACACTTTAAGTCCTTCACAAACCCGCTGAAGTAATTGCAGGTGAAAAATTCGCTTTTCCCTTAACGATTTGATCGCTTAAGTGCAATGGGATGCTTAGAACGCGTCACCACCGCAAGTTCAAGCTGAAAACCGCACGCCATCCGAATCGAATCATTTTAATGAAACTCATTTTTTCATTCAGGAACGTGGCAAACATCGGTTCTCTCTCTCGCACCCAACGGGGTCTATAAGAGATGCCCGATGGTCGGCGCGTTGCTACGTTCCAACTTGACACCTCCATCGCTTGAAATAATTCAGTTTTGAGCGTGACAAAGTTCGAAAAAACATTTTTTCGGCAGTTTTCGATTACTTCGCATCTTATTAGAGAACACGCCAACATTCGTTTAGGGACTGGTTTTCAAAAGTAGTCAAAAACTCCAAGAAAATTGGGCGCAAACGCATTCTCCAAACCGCACTTTGTGAGGGTCAAATCTGGGCTCTAATGTGGGTGGCCAACTCGAATGTTTAAGATCTGCACTTGATTTAATCGCTTTTACGGAAATAGTCGCTTTTTTGCTGGGTTTATGGCAACTTTGCGCCAAACTAAATGAAAATGCAGACACTTTAAATGCTTCATAAACTTGATGCCCTGAGAAAGGCGACAGTAAATTGCCGAAAGCCTGGTAGCTAAAACAGTTTTTCTTTTTCTTCACCACTGCCCAGACCGAATTCCCAAGAAAAATCAACCATCCTGCAATTATTTGAAATCGGTCAAGAAACCGAACTATCTGCAAATTTTGGTCTAAGAGCAGATTTGTTGAACTGCACAGTCCATAGAAGCGAGTTGAACCTAAAAATCCTCAAAAGTTCATGGAAATCGCCCCCAAACGGGGTTCTTTAAAATCGGGCAAACTTTTCATTCCCATTCGTTCCGCCCGTCCGATGCGATCCAGTGCGCGCTTACACAGTATTTCGCTCTACCCTCTAGTACTTAAACTCATCACCTCTATATAAAACTGTGGCGTGCAAATGCCCCCTTAAGTTCTAGCTCTAGCCTTTCCAGCTACATCGAATCGGAGCTGATCTACGCCTATGCGCGCACCGGAAGACTGGCCGACTTGGAGGAGTTCATTTCCGGGCCGAACCATGCAGACATTCAGAAGATAGGCGACCGCTGTTTCGATGACGGCATGTACGATGCAGCGAAGCTGCTCTACAACAACGTTTCGAACTTTGCGCGACTGGCCATCACTCTGGTGCACCTCAAGGAGTTCCAGGTGAGTTGGAAGCGCGAGCAGATGGAAGATGGGGGTTGCCAATGTTGCTTCTGCAGGGTGCGGTGGACAGTGCCCGGAAGGCGAACAGCACCCGCACTTGGAAGGAAGTTTGCTTCGCGTGTGTGGATGCGGAAGAATTCCGTCTGGCGCAGATGTGCGGGATGCACATCGTGGTCCATGCCGATGAGCTCCAAGACCTGATCGACTACTATCAGGATCGGGGCTACTTCGAGGAGCTGATCGGTAAGTGGAGGTTTGGCGTGTTTTCCGATCGATCATTGGCTGGTTGCAGGCCTGCTAGAGGCGGCTTTGGGCCTGGAAAGAGCCCACATGGGCATGTTCACTGAGCTGGCCATCCTCTACTCCAAGTACAAGCCGGCGAAAATGCGCGAGCACTTGGAGCTGTTCTGGTCGCGGGTCAATATCCCCAAGGTAAACGGCATCAGGCCACACATAGTGAGTTGTCGAGGCTGAGCCTTTTTTTCTCTCTGGATAGGTTCTAAGGGCTGCTGAGCAGGCCCATCTGTGGGCCGAGCTGGTGTTCCTCTACGACAAATACGAAGAGTACGACAACGCGGTGCTGGCCATGATGGCGCACCCGACGGAGGCGTGGCGCGAGGGCCACTTTAAAGACATCATCACCAAGGTGGCCAACATCGAGCTCTACTATCGGGCCATCCAGTTCTACCTGGATTACAAGCCGCTGCTTCTCAATGATCTGCTGTTGGTGTTGGCGCCCCGCATGGACCACACCAGGTAACACGTTCTTCTGCTTCGAGGGCTTCGCCCCCTACCAGGGTTGGCTTGATTTTTTTCAAGTGATTTCAATCACATGACTTTTTTGGAAAAAAATCACGATTTAAGTCAAAGTTAATTTTTCCAAGAAACTTTATATTTCCACTCAAGAATGCAAAAAACGATACATGTGAACTTAAAAGTTAAACGGTATTAATGGTAAACTCAATAATACTGAAACGGAAATCACTTCTGTTTATCTTCATTTTCGTTATAAAGTCTGAAGAGGAACACTAATTTATCTCTAGCTATTAACTGCTATCGTTTTTTATAAATTTTTCCAAAGAAAAACAATTTATAAAAGAAATTCTGAATTTCAATAATTCTCCAAATTTTTTTATTGAAAAATGTTTTAACGAAATTGAATTCCCACGAACAAACAAAATCAAAATAAACCTATTACGAACCTTTTCATTCCATTTATTCCAGGACTTTCAGATCAAATTAAACGAGTAGGTAAAAAATTTGATATTAGGACTATCTTCAAAACTGAAAATACAATTAGAAGTAAAATTTCAGCAACAAAACCTCATGATATAATTGAAAACATAAAAAATGTAATTTATAAAATTCCTTGCGAATGCAATAAATTTTATATAGGAGAAACGTCAAGACCATTACACAAAAGACTCAAAGAACACCAATCATACATAAAAAACAGAGAATATCATAAATCACAAATTTGTCAACATGCATTTGATAATTGCCATAAAATTCAATGGAATAA